TATATATATATATAAATTAACTGTTTGATTTTGTAAGTAATTGGTTTTATTTGAATTATTTGATATACGTTCTATGTGATGGGTTAGTCAGGTTAAGTATGTCGAACCATAGAATTATAATTAGTAATAATGTCGGTTTATGATATAATTATTTTATTATGTGAGAATTGTAAAAAATAGTAAAATAACAAGTAATTGAGCCTAATATGTGGCAGTGTAAAGAGTAATTGGACCTAGTAGTTGTTAGGTTTGTGTTATTTTGTTAAGAGTATAAAAGGAAAAGAAAACTAGGTTAGTAAAGGAAAAATAGAAAAAAGGCTAACCTAGAGAAAAGGAAAAGGGAGAACGAGGAGAAGAACACCTAAAGAGGAATTCAAAATATCATCAAGAAATTAAGGTAAGTGTGAGTTTTTACATTGTTATGGAAATTGTATGATGATGTATGATGGATAGATTCATGGTTAGGATGAAATCCCTAAATTTCTATGATTTTGAAATTGTTAGATTTTGATGAGAAATTCTTGAATATGATGAGTAATGGTACTGTGATATTTCTATTTGAAAATACATGTTAGATATAGGTTATAATACCCTAAATCATAGTAATTTGGATGTTAAAATGAGTTTTGGAGTGGAATTTTTGTAAGGAAATCGCAGAAAAATGTATGATTTTTTGTAAAACTTCAAAAATTCATAACTTTTGAACCGTAGTTTCATTTTAGTCCCCGTTTGATGCATTAGAAAGAAAATACAATATTATTTTCAATAAAAATGGTCTTGATGGCATTAGGTGATTTAGTTACTGCGTGGTTATGTAAAATGATATGTATTTATGTGTTGTGTTGTTGGAATATGGTGATGTTGCATTATTGTTATTGATTATAACATGATGAGTTGATAACATGTTTGATGAATAGTGATACCATGAAGTTGTGTTGTGTGGTATGCATAATATATATGCATAATATTTTGTTTTGTAGAATATTATAAATTAATATGAATTGTATGTGGATGATTCATAAATATATGCATGTATGTGTAATTGTGTGGTAATTCAATTGTGATGAATTATTGAAGATATAAATGGATGTTATGATTAGAGAATGATCTTAATTGCATATGGTTGTTGTAATTGCACATACATAATTTGTTGTCAAGATGCATGCTTGTTAGTTCTGTGAGAGCTAATGAATTGTCCCAAACCTAGAGAGAGATTTGAAAGCTTAGAGGACGAGATTTTTTGTGTTATTGGTATAGGGAACGAACCCGATTTGATGTAAAAACCGAATAAAAATAACAATGATTGGTACCATATACATGAGTATTGCATTTGAGTATCGGATTGAGTCACATGGTGTTTTGTGTCATAATATGAAATTCTGTGCATTATGTGAAATTGTGAAATTGATCAAATTAATATAATTGGGCAATTATAGATTGTTGGTGTATTTTATGAATGATATAATGAACTGGGTGATGTTATGTTTTATAAGTTTATAAAGTGTGAGAATATGATCTATATGCATGTATGCTAAATATTATATATTATTATTATATAGTTCTTGATAATTATGTGAATTCTCACCCTTTTGTTGGAATGATGTTTTATATGACACATCACTCAGGTACTGAAGATTAAAGTTACTTCTATTAAGAAAATAGCCGATGGAATATATTATTTTATTTTTCATATTTATTTGGGTTGAGTCATGCTCTGATCACGTAACGCTGAGATTTGTTTGGGTTCATATTTTTGGAGAGATACTTTACGTACTTTACTTTATTATGTTATTTTGATTTGAATTATGGTATGCAGTGACTTTTATGCCTAAGTTAATTAAATAAATAAATTTTATTTTGTAGACTTGAATATTACATTCATTTGATTAAAAGTGAAATCCGCTACTACATACTTATGAGAAAGTGATATGAAAAGCATAAATTTTAAATAAGTGTTATTTAGTATGATATGGATTTGTGATGTATGGAGTATGCGTGATACCCTTGTTTTGAAATGCATGTTATATTACTCTGAATTATGATGTATTATTCCGTGGGATTTTAGAGGGTGTTACAATGCTCCCTTATGTTGCCCCCAAAAATATATAGGACAAGTATGTTAGAATCTATAAAATTCTATGAATTCTTATTTCATCTAGTCTTTTAAATTTTTGGGAGGGAAAGTCTTCAACCTTTTCACTTAGGGTGAAAGGGTAGAGATGATTTTATTTAGATGAATGGGAGATGTCTTAGTTATCCCATGGAGCATGGGGAAATTCTCCAAACCAACTCCCATTTACCTCAACCTTCTCGTATCTGAACAAATATGACTATGTCCATTGAAATCGACAAGTAAACAAACATATTTTTGTTCAGGATTGGCCAGGTCAAAATTGAAGGTTGATACAACACTTCTTTGAGATTGATAAACGAGGCGTAAAATTCGAGCGCCTATTCAAAGGTTAAATTCTACTTTAGAAACTTGTAGAATGGTAGCGCATGATAGGTTGTCCTCGTAATAATCCTTGAAAGGGAGATTAATATCTCTTAACCATTGTATTCTCTGTTTGGACTTGGGGGCTGAAATTTCTATCACAACCTCACACTTATTGAGATTTGCCTTAATTCCCCTATCTGTAAGAAATACCCAAATAATTTACTTGTTTGAATTTTGAACGCGCATTTCTCGAGAACCTCATATTATATCTCCAGACTTCTCAAAACATGACCTTCAAATGGGAAATGTGAGTAATCTCCTTCCCATACTTGAATTTGATGTCACACATTTTTACTTCCATCATGTATTCAATAAGACCTTTGAAGATCTTGTTCATCATTTGTTGGTACATGGTGTTTGCAGTTTTTGAGCCTAGAAGGCATTAATTTGCATGTTGTATCTGATTGTAACTAAAATAAACATCCACAAACAACAAGAATCTGAAGTTGAACCAATCGTTAATGGGCTTTCTATTTTTGGGACGAGGTAGGTATTCTTATAACACACCCTCCTATGACCATAGTAATTAACACATATCCTTCATTTATTATCATATTTTATTACAAGGACAACATTTACCAACCAAGTGGTATACTTGGCTTCACTTACAAAATCGACTTATAAGTGGTCCTTTACCGCCTTCCATGGGGACTCTCCCTTCTCAGGTGACTACCTCTTGTAACTTTAGGCCATATAGAGGATGTTCTTTTGAATGGATAGTGAGAGGCAGAAGACCTTCGGTTGAAGGCCAAGAATTACTACAATAGACCAAGAGAACAAATCTACATTCTTTTACAAATATTTGGTGATTTGGTCCTTCACCTCTCCTGGTAGGTCGATTGTAATTTTGACCATTTCGAAGGATCATACTTTTATTGTACTTTCGATAACATTTTGTTTGGTTAGAGAACTTTTACCTTTTCGTATCACATATATAGGATAAGCTTTCTTATTCTCATCATCGTCTTTGATGGGCCTTGGCTTCACCCGGGTATAGAAAGTATCGATATTCATATAACATTTTTTGTCTCCTTCTCTTTCTCTACAGAATTTGGTGGCGACTTAGTATGGGTTGACCAGTGCTACCACGACCTGTATTTGGTGGCGACCTAGTTTGGGTTGAGACTTGAGCCGCCCAAACTCCAGACGGGATGAACCAGACAAGTGCTAACTCACCCGACTCGTCATACTTTTATGAGGTTTTAAGCCCTATGAACTGTAGGTTATTAAAACTCGATCAGAATTATTCCATTCCAATCTTATTTGAAAAAAATGCAACATACAATAGAAATTTAAAAAATTCTAGAAATCTTTTTATAAATACTAATTTATAACTAGATTAGAGTATACCATCTTTAAATTTTAAAAATTTCACTCTCGCTTATAAATTGATTTAAACGTCAATGTATTTATAAACTCATTTATATGTGGAAGCCATACCGTCTTCAACAAGGATGTTTAAATCTAAACTAATCTAAATTAAAATCATAACTCGATTAAAAAAATCAAAAAATTGCAAAAAAATTAAATATTATTAGATATGTTTGGATGTCGTTTTGTAAAAACCGCTCAAATTGGATATTTTAAAATTTATCCAAACTGAACTGAACTGCGTGCATATTTTTTTATACTTATTTTTATTTTTTATTATTATTATTAATATGATATGTTGTGTTAATTTGATGCTTGTTTTTCTAATACTATTTACTACTTTAGCTTAATCTATTTATTTTTATTATTTTATTTGTTTCAATCATAGTCAATTTTTTTTATTTTATAATATTAAATTTTAATATATTATATTAAAATAAAAATATATTTTATAATTTTGTTATTCAAAAAACGATGTAAATAAAATGGCATAAAATTAAATTAAATTAGATTATATTTTTTGAATCCATCATAAAAAAAATTAAATCAAACTACAAATAATTTTATTTTTAAATTGGGCGAACTTTTACCTCCAAACCGATTTAAACAGCATCACAAACACATCTAATCTCCATTCGCATTGCCGATTTTTGACTGTGTATTTAGATCCATTTCAAATTAATACAACATGCAAGTTAATACAGCAAATCCAAACCACTTAAGTAATACAAATCTAAAAACAAAATAAAACCCTCACAATCACAAAATTACTAACGTCAACATTATTATTCCTCACCACAACTTTCACTTTAATAACGTTTGAAGTTTATTTTAAAAAAAATCAAAATTCAAAGGATAATAAACATAACACAATCAAGCACTAAATACTAATGAGAACCACAGAAAATATATCTTGTCACATATACAATAATATGTCAAACATACACTTACAAACTTTCACATTTTTTTTCTTCATCCTTTTATTTTATTTTATACATTTTCTTGCCAAACATCAATAGTATTAATAACAACTAAAATAAAAAATCCCTCCCAAAACCTCTTCAGACACTTCACACCTTTTCTTTAAGGATATTTTGGGCTTTTCACATTTTATTTCATTTTTTTACTGTTATCAGAGAGAGCACATAAGACGCTTAGTTGGAACAGCAATGAGTCGACTCGCTCTCGGCGCAGTGAGTCCAAAAACATCACTCGTATCCATTTCACTTGGCTTTATTCCATTAGGTAACTCCCAAATAAAGCAATGAAGTAAATGGGCCAAAGCCAAGTCCAATGCATACAAGCCCAATTGAATTCCGGGGCAAGATCTTCGACCCGATCCAAACGGAATAAACTCAAAATTACTCCCTTTAAAATCAGGCGCACTTGAATTTAAAAATCTTGAAGGCTGAAAGTCTTCTGAATCCTTCCATGAAAGTCCATCTCTTCCAATAGCCCACGCATTTATCATCACGCGTGAGCCTTTTGGAACGTAATAACCACCAACCGTAGCGTCCTCTGCTGTCTCGTGGAGGAGTAGCGGAATGGGCGGGTGAAGACGAAGCGTCTCCTTGACGATGCATTTTAGGTATGTCAATTTCTCTATGTCTGATTCTTCCACGCGTCGGTCTAGACCAACCACGGCGGCGAGTTCTTGTTGCACGCGCTTGAGTTCTTCTGGATTTCTTAGTAACTCCGACATAGACCATTCCATTGCTGATGCAACAGTTTCTGTTCCTCCGAACATGACATCCTGTATTGTTTACATTTACACCATAATATGAGTTGTGACTTATTGTCAATGTATATTTGTAGTTGTCTTAAAAGAAAAACTTTAAATGGGAAGTGGAAAATGAAATGTGGTACTAGTATTTGATATGGATTGGAAGAAAATTAAGATTATCACTAATCCACTATAGTGACACAATGGAAATTTCTTATCTTTTGGACTCAATTCACACCATTTATTCTTTCCACAGCTGCGGGTGAAATATTATCGAAAAACCTACTTTCTAAATAATGACAATTAATTGAAATAAAATTTAAATTTATAATTAAGATTGAGTTAGAAACATGTTATGATTAAAATAACGTTCGCACACTCCTTTCAACAGGACAAATAACAAAATTTATATATTTATCTCATAAGCAACATCATTTGATTTTGGATACCTAAAATAGTAAACTCAAACACTTTTTATCTCTTTTATAACTTCATCCTCTCTCTTAATGCATGATTATCTACTTCACATTGAGTATACATGGTATTTTTCATATATATATATATATATTAAAGTTAAGGAATAATTTATTCAAATTATTTTATTTGTTTGCAGGTCTACTTTTAAAACACTCCTCCATAAAATAAGTTATTCAAACAATTGTATTAATATATTATACTTCACTACATATTGTAGTCATTAAATTTTTCAAGATAGACATCGTATATAAAAATAAAATGGAAAGAATATTTTTGTATTTATTCAAATCAAACCCAAGTTTGAATTTATTTTTTTTGCGTAACTTTTTACTTCTAATTAATATAGTGAATCATGTATACTCTGAAACTTAAACCTAGCCTATTTATTAAAATCTAAATAAGTAAACAATATGACATAAGTGTTAAGTAATCATACCACATGGTACTTATATATTTTTGTTTTGAAAAAAAACACTACATAGTATAATAGCCAAGTGTAGCCATCCCATCAAAAAATAATAGTGTAAATTAATTAATATGATGATGGTTATTATTTTTGTCTTTTTTTGACAATAAGTTATTATTATTATTATTATTATTATTATTATTATTATTATTATTATTATTATTATTATTATTATTATTATTATTATTATTATTATTATTATTATTATTATTATTATTATTATTATTATTATTTGTTCTAAAAAAAATCAATAATTATTAGTGCACTTGAAAATGTAAAAAATATCCATACCATGATGATGGCTTTGATGTTATCCCTAGTGAGTTTGATAGAGTTATGAAGATCATCCGATTCATTATTCACTATAGCCTCATCACTGTAAAAAGCCAATAATTCATCAACCATATCACTATCTTCATCACCACTGATATTCCTCTTCTTCTTCTCAACATGTTCATCAAAAATTTTATCAATAAAGCCATCCAACGCACCACGAGCCTTAACAAGCCTAGCATTCAAACCTTGAGGATCAACCCACCTCAAACAAGGTACAAAATCCGCAATATTAAAAGCACCAAACAATTTCGAAAACTCTTGAAGTATAGAAATAAACTCATCTTGTCCTTCTTTTGAACTCGACCCAAAAGCCGCACGATAGATAATATTCTTTGTTAAATTAAAAACCAACTCACCAACGTTAACAGATTTTCCCAGATTATCGTTAATGTTGGTGATAACGAGGTCCACTTCATCTCTAACAGATTCCCACGACTCCGCGCGTTTTCGGCTGAAGAGTTTCATGACACAAATCTTCCTCATCTGGCGCCAAAACGGACCGTAGTGAGCGAACGCCATGTCCGCTCGATTATAAGTGAGATAGCTTATGGCTATCGTCGCTGGGCGATTTGAGAAGATATTGTCATTCAGCTGTAACACTTCACGCGCTGCTTCTGCGTTTGAGATTGCTACCATGTGGATAAACCCCATGCGGAGGTGCAAAACGCCGCCGTATTGTTTGGCTAAATCTGCTAAACCTCTATGTGTGAGTTTGTCCATCATGTTCATGTTACCTATTAAGGGTAACCCTTTTGGTCCTGGTGGATATGGTGCTCTTTTGCGGATTTTTGAGGATAGGTTTAGTAGTAGAAACATAGTGAGTGGGAGAATGATCCATAATAGTGAAGTGACTGGTTCTAGTATGGTTTTTGCTTGGTGAAGTAAATCCATGTTAACTTGTGTGTGAGTGTTTGTATTTTTGGTTTATGAATTTGGTTATTTAAATAGGTGGAGAATCTTATCGATTACTTTGTAGGAGAGAAATGAATGTATTGTTGGGTAATTGATGTGAGATTGCAACTCTAAGGATTGATGAGTTGTGAGGATATTATGGGATCTAATTATACTGCAAGTGGACGCAACTAAAAAAAGAAGTAATATTGAGATATGAGGATGGAGAGTTTTTTTTTATAAATATTTGAGGGTGGAGACCTAACACGTTTTTTTCCATTCTAAAATTTTAAAAAATATTGGTAAAATCTATTGAAGAAACCACCATTTATTAAATAATGCATGTATAGTGATTTGTTATGGTTTGATAGGTTTAATAGTTAATTTGGGACTGGAGTGGGACGGATACAAAAACTTTACGTCGAGAAATAATTAATTGTTGATGAGATTGAGTTTCTCATAAAGTTAAATGGATGGTTTTTCAAAAAGAAACCACCAACCATTTAGAGCATAATTAATGAAATAAAGTCTTTCATTTTTTAGGGTGTTGTTAACCGGTGTCCTAGGGTATCCGATAACATCAACTATTATAAATTCCAAATCAATTCTATAAAATAATATAGACGTGACTTAAAATTTAAATAAGATAAAATTTAAATATATTTTTTAAATGAATTTTACCAACATCAATAAAATATGATATTCTAAATATATATTTTTTCTTATTAGAGACAAAAATAGAATCAAAATCTCTTCATATAAATTTTAAATATTTCAAACTGAGCTAATTTTTTTTTTTTATAGAAAATTAGAACAATTTATTGGTATGGTAAACAATTGTCATGGTTTTTTATAAGTAAAATCACTTGTTTTAAAATAGTGATAATTTTTATAAACAAAGTGAAAATTTATTTATATCATAATTAGTTATTAAAATAATTTATATATTTCACTTTGTGATTAGTATTTAATATTTGAAAAATTAAGTAATTCAAAATTTATATAAAAATATGAATAAAGTAGTAAATAATTTTGTAATGATTTGCTGTTATTAAATTATATATATATATATATATATATATATATATATATATATATATATATATATATATATATATATATATATATATATATATATATATATATATATATATATATATATATATATATATATATATATATATATATATATATTATATATATATATATATATATATATATATATATATATATATATATATATATATATATATATATATATATATATATATATATATATATATATATATATATATATATATTATATATATATATATTATATATATATATATATATATAATATATATATATATATATATATATATATATATATATATATATATATAAAGAGTGATCAAAATTTATATAAAATTATTTGTTATTATTATATATATTATAATATAATATTGATATTGAATATATTGGAGTTAATGTGAAAAATAAAAAATGAGTGATCAAAATTGATAATGATTTGTTGTTATTAAAAATATTCATTTATTTATTTATGAGTAATAAAAATTCTAATATAGTATTACATAAAAAATTAAGTTTCTAACATATACCACAGAAAAATTAGAATTAAGATTACGACAACCTTAAATTTAAATTAAATAGATAAATATTAATTGATTTAGATAAATTTATTTATTCACTTTCTCTGTCATAATAAATTATAATAAAAATTGTAAAAAAATAAAATAAAAAATAGAAAACTCAAATAAAAATTTATATTCCATTTAAATATCAAATACAAAGATTCAAATGTTTTGATAAAATAAAAAAAAACAAAGTACAATTTTAATTTTTATATTATCACCACCATCAATTTCTACCAATTAATGATATACAGTATCATCTCATCATAATATTTCTGTTAGAAAAATAATATAAATAAAAAAATTAGTTTTAATTAATAACAAAAATATCTAATTTTATTAAAATTAGAAATTTAATAAATATAAATGCAAAGTAATAATGTGTAGGGGTGTTCGGTGGTCCGGTTTGGATCGTATCATCCGATCCAAAAATATATAAAGCATACGGTTTGGTTCGATTTTTGGATGATAACAAGAAAAATCCAATCCAATCCAATCCAATTTATACGGTTTTACTTCGGTTCGGTTGAATCGGTTTTATTCGATTTTTAAACCAACACTATTTAGAAATTTAAAAAGAATATATTTCAATACCAGTTACAATTATGCCACTAACGTCTACTGAGACAATATCTAATTGCTATGTTCATATGGCTATTTGATGTCATTATTGCAAAGTTTCATTATAATATATGTATAATATATATCCCAACGAAATAGACATGACTATAATATATAATATACGGAGATATACTTAGTTCTTATATGGAGATTTGTATTATAAATTAAATATATGACAAATATATAAAACAGTGAACAAATGAAGATTCCAAAGCTATATTAAAGCGAATATAATAATAAAACTTCAAGATTAATTTGTTTTAAATAATAAATGACAAGTAAATGGAAGTAATACCGGTTCGGTTTGGACCGGTTCGATTCTCATGAAGCCAACCGAACCGAACCGGTCGGTTATGCTACATGGTGATCTAAATACATTCAAAAAAATTCGTTTTTTTTTTGGATTTCGATTTTTTCGGTTCGGTTTTTAGATTTTTTTTGGATCGGATTGGATCTGAACACCCCTAATAATGTATATTAATGAATTTACTAACGTCATATTTTTTTTTCTTTTATAATTTAGAAATTTCATTTTTCTTTGTTTTTTATTGATATTAAATTGTTTTTTAATGATCTTTAATGATCCTTAACCATGCCCGGAGGCATCGGATACATTGCCCTTTTTTTTAATTCTTCTCTTTATCAATTTCACCAAGTTCATTAAGAGTCTATTTGTTTTATTTTTTTCAAAAAATAATTTTTATAATGTTACATGTTTTTTTTTTTAAATTACAAAGAAAAGAAACTTTTTATAAAAGTTTTAAACAAAATTTTTGATTTTAATAGTTATTTTTAAATGTTATTTTAAGTATTTCGTCATTTTATTAAAAAAATTTGAATATCAAAATTTCAAAATTCACTTAAATTTGAAGTTATTTCAAATAGTTTTTCATAAAAATCATTTTTGAAATGTAATTTTTTTAGAAAAATTGCAATTTCAACTATGTTTTGATATTCAATAATGTATATTTAAGTTATAGGATGTCAAAATTAGCCTTAAATCTAGAAAAAACAAATATAAAAAAAACTTATAATACTTTGAAAAATGTTTTTTATAAAAATCATTTTTAATAATATAAAGAAAAAAAATATTTTTTTAAAAGCTAAAACAAGCGGGCCCTAAATATCACCACAAGAAAAGTTGAATCTCACTAGGATCGATACTCTCACAATGTCAAAAACCACCTCATAATGCCCAATAATGTGGGAACTACATCACCTTGCAAAATACGTTGTGACAACTTATTTTTAGGGGTTTAACCCCTTACAAAGTTATTTCGGGATTAACCCCTCGCATATGACATATTTATCTTTTGTAAAGGTTCGACTTTAAACATCAAATCTCTCATCTCCATCTTCACCACTTATTCTCCAGCTTCAGATCAAATCATTAGTACAGAGAAATCCATCATTCACTTTGGGGCGATGTCTTCTTCCAGACTCAACATTTTGTCGGCTCTAACAGGTTTTAACAAGGGTGCTTCTCCCTTTAATTATCTAGGGGTGCCTATTTTCAAGGGTTCTCCTAAATCCAAATATCTCCAATTTATTGTCGATAAGTTTTTTTTGTAAGCTTGCTTCTCGGAAAGGCGCTTTGCTTTCTTTTGCCAATAAGGTTGAACTGGTCAAATCTGGTCTTCGGTGCATGCTTATTCACTCACTTCCTGTGTATGCTTGGCCGGGTTCCCTTCTTAGAGATTTAGAGCATGCTTCCAAAAATTTCACCGTGAGCTATTTTGGGGCCTCTTTTAAAAGTAAAACGATTACTGTAGTTTGGAAGAACATTTGCAGGCTTTATTCAAAAGGAGGTTTGGGGCTTTGATCTTTAGCGAGTCTTAATGAAGCCCCCAACTTAAAGCTTTGCTGTGATGTTTTATACCCTGAGTAACCTTGGGCAATTCTTCTCAAAAGATTATCTTGTATAATTTTGGTGTTATCAATCATAATATTTTTTCCTCGATTTAGTCTAGTATCAAGCATGGTTATACCATAGTTAGGAGAATTCCACATGGATTCTCGGAATAGGAAACATCATCAAATTCTGGAATGACTCTTGGTATGTCTCCCCTTTGATTCTTGAGTTAGAGAACCCCAATGTGATCGTCCACTTTCTTGTTAGTAACATCATCTTAGGTCAACACTGGAACTTGGCTGCTCTTAATAGTTCAATTACAATTCTATCAAAGCTCGAATTTGCAATTGCATTATGTGAGTGCAACTTTACCATTAAGATATTTTGTATGATGTCAAAATTAGGAAAACTTAGCATTTATGTATATTGGGCGATATCTCTGTGTCGTTTGGTGCATCTTGCATTAGAGGTCTTAAGAAGCATTCAAACAAGTTTGAAATTGGCCAAAACATGAAAAATTGTTTTCTGCACAAAAGATGTCATCATGTGCCGACACATCCACTTTTTAGGCCAGCACATGTACTGCATTATTAAAGGTTGTAGCCTCTGTCTTACATAGGTCGGCTCATAGCCCATTTGAGGTTGGTACATGATGAAAAATAACAGTATATGCATACACATCTGATTTTCAGGCCGACACATGTGCTACATTATTAAAGCATGTAGCTTCTATTTTGCATATGTCGACACATGACTCATTTCAGGTCGGTACATGCTGTAGTTTTAATCCTATGTGCCAGCACATCCGTGTTTTAGGCTGACACATCTTGTTATTTGGGTTAGATTTTCACAACTGTTTTAATTCCAAAGTTTTCCTCTTTGCCACCAAATTT